TTTTTTTTAAGAATTCTCTTCTGCTCACCAAGGCTGCATTTATTTGATCCAAAGTACAGCAAAAACAGTAAAATTTTGAAATATTTTTACTAGGCTATTTAAAATAACTATTTTCTATTTTAATATATTTTAAAATGTAATTTATTCCTGTGATTTCAAAGCAGAGCTTTAGCATCATTACTCCAGTCACATGATCCTTCAGAAATCATTCTAATATTCTGATTTGCTTCTCAAAAATCCTTTATTATGTTGAAAACAGCTGAGTAGAATTTTTTCAGGTTTCTTTGATGAATAGAAAGTTCAGAAGAACAGCATTTATCTGAAATAGAAATCTTTTGTAACATTATGAATGTCTTTATCATCACTTTTGATCAATTTAAAGCATCCTTGCTAAATAAAAGTATTAATTTCTATAATTTCGTTTCCAAAAATAAAAAAAATAAAAAAAATCTACTGACTCCAACCTTTTGAATGGTATAGTGTATAACGCTACAAAAGCTTTTTATTTCAGATAAATGCTGATCTTTTGATCTTTCTATTCATCAAAAAAAAAAATGTACTCAACTTACTCAACTGGTGCGTCGGCCCACCGGGAAAATGCCCGGTATGCCCGATTACCAATCCAGCCCTGGGTTCATGACTGAACTGAGCATATATTTAAGGTCCCTTCGGATAGATGTGCATACTTATCTGCACTCCACATAGTCTGCAGTTTCATAGTCGTCAATGAAACTAAAATTAGAAAACACAGCTATAAGGTTACATTCCATTTACAGTGCAGAGAGAGACGGCCCATAAATGTAGAGAAGCTGAGACAATGTAGGCATCACAAATGTCTTTTTAGACTTTCATTATCTCTGCAGAGAAGGTAAAAGAAAGGATGCAATGTTTGGCAACCATAAATTGAGTTTACAATTTCATCTAATCTACATGTGACACACTACTACGTACTTCTGCAATTCATAAATTCTTATTCAGATACATCTGTACTATACAAATCACAGTCAACTAAAACTACCGAAAAGGCTGCTATACTGTGGGCATCTAAAAAAACACTTCTGTTAAGGACCTCAGATCACAAGGCCTTATTACATGTTTACGTGAGATAAATCAGAAGAATGAGGTTTATAGAAAGAGTGGCTTTCAGGCCGAGTGCAAGGTTAAAGGTCACTGAAAGCTCTGGCAGATCAAAATGCAGTTTCAAAAGAGAAGTGGGGGGGGGGAGGGGGGGGGGCAGTTCTGTGCACATTTAATGATTTTAAATCCTAAGAGGTCTATTAGAAAAGGAAGGGAGTGAACTTTTTCTGGAGTCTGCTTTTTTTCTGTAGCTAAGCCTAAAGATTTGTTTAAATAAAACACTAATGTTTATTGGGTTGTTCCGCCATTATACTGATCAGGTATCAGGCATCCAATCTTTTTTATCAATAAGGTGGAAAGTCTTTAGTGGAAGCTTCAGTGAACTGTCAAGAGCCAAGTCAAAAATACATACATGATTTAATGGATCTGCTCATTGGATGCACGTGATTTTTCATTTTCAAAAATAAATATGCATTTAAAAACAATATAAAACTGGTGTACTAAAAATCCCAGTACCTATTTCCAGATGAATGGGTTTCATGAAAATACACATGATAATTTACACCTACATACACATCAAGCATTCCTAAAATGCAACAGTTTTTATACAACAGTGCCTTACTATAAGGCACTATAGTAGACGAAAACAAATATGTTAAATGAGTAGTATGTCCTAATTTGCAGTATTCATAAAACACTAGGCATAAAATTATATCCATTTGATAGGCACTTTACTTTCCCATAAGCCCATGGGAGAAAAGTTGTTATAATACTAAATGGCACTGAACATGCGGCTGATGCCATAGGCCACATGTCAATACCACATACACATGCATACTTATAAAACGTAGTTTATTAAGACTCAATAAGTAAATTCTTCATCAAATGCAGTACATAGGCCTACTCTAAACTGTACGTGATTTTGGAAGTAGCTGCTCCACTCACATAGCCTACTCCAATCCAGATTAGCTTTCAGTCTGTGTGCTGCTTGATTTTTTAAACTATTCATGAGTTTGCACTTACATATAATAGGATTTAGCAAATATTAAGCTTATTTGGTGTGCTGTCTTGAAGGAGGGCTCCGAGCTCGGAATATAGCCTGAACCCAGAGAACCTCACCCCCAGTATGGGATGAGAATAGTTTAAGAGTGAGGCGTTGGGGTGGAGGAGGGATGCCGGAAAACTGTCATGGGACAGAGGTGAGTTGGCTGTGTGTGTGTATATATATATATATATATATATATATATACGTATCATGCTAATTAATTGATCAACTAGACGAGCTCCACCTGTGCTGCATTTGGTTGATTATCTGATCTTGCTCTTCCCGAACCTTGTTAATAAAACATAATTTTGTGTTGCTATAAACCAGAGATGACTAGCCAATTGCTGAAATGCAAGTTCCTGGTTATCATGTTTACTAAGCTGATGTATAAAAAACAATATCACGCTGTGTCAAACATCAGCACTGCTGTGATTACCTGCTGTGGCCTTGTGATACTGCTTTAACAATTTCCAGTTCTCTCCATACAAAACCCCATTTGTCTTTAAACACGAGGCTCAATAGGTGCACTATAAAAATGCAAGTACACATATACACCTAGTATTCTCCAGGAGCTCTTAGAATATGGGAAATGGTGGCTTCCCCCTCCCCTCACCTCCCCTCTTCACCATCGCTTTCTCTCGATTGAGACCGAGCTGAGAGACTGCACATGCTGACATCAGCAAGCCTCGCGCCGCCCGTTACCGTCACACAGCACCGCTCACCTCGCGCCCTTACCGTGCGTAACACACCGAACACACACACACACACCAGAAATAGACTCGATTCATTTTGCCACCGAAATAACTTGACAAATAAATGCCTAGAAATATTCTAATGAAACATCCGCGACCAAATCATGCGCTCGCTCGTGTTTTTCTTCAGCTATCATTAAACCAGCGGCAATGTGATTCGTGTTTTAAGACATTTTCAGGTGATCTTACACATGCCACACTCAAGCGCACTATACCTGCAACCGGAGGCCCCAGGGTACTCACTGAGGGGGTTTAAAAGGATATGGCCATTCGGTGATCTTTTTGGCGTATTTTCTCACGAAGTTGTCCTCACTGAAGATGAACAGAGATCGGTTGACAGTGAAGCAGTTTTGCCGCACCGGTATAGGGTTGTACAGGGCCATAGTTCTGGCTCGCTGGGCCATTGACTGCTTGTACACTCTCTGTTGACCACCCGGCGGGCCGCCCTGCCTGCTGCCGCCGCGGCCGGGTCCCCCTTGAGCGTGTCCCGGTCCTCCGCCATACCTGGACGGCACCTCATCTCCGAACCGAGCCATTCTATAGACACCAAATGCCAGTCTTCACGAAGCAGGAAAAAGGGGGGCGAATATTCAACGCGACCACACCACATTACATCCCATCTGCTTCAAAACTTAATACGTGTATAACTGGAGTACACATTTGTCTTCATGGCTTTTGTATGCGATGTTACGCTCCAGGAGCTTGATGGTTAGATTTTAAGCAAACTAAAAAGAAAACGAACAAAAAACAACAACAAAAACAAACAAAAAAAAATCGAACAAAAAAAGCGCGCCTTATATTTTGTAGTTCACAGGTTCGTTGCCCACTTCAACACACAAAATGGTCCATCATCACCTCATTTTATGTCCACAATCAACATATTTCCACGGCCATGCAATGGCTACATCCTCATATTTTCCAGAACTGTCTCTCATCCGCGCTTTTCCTTGGAAATTCAGGTTGCAATCATTTATACGATCTAGGTGTGATGGCTAACCAAGTGAACAAAAATGGAAACATTTAAAACAATCATCTGAGTTCAGTTTTATTAACTGTACATTCTGATGATTACAGTATCCATATCTATTTAATACGGGGAAAAATAGGATAAAAATGATTATTTATTTATTTCGCAACATCCGCAATATTTGGCATGGTGTAGCTATAATCTGCCTTCGGTCACCTCGCGCTCACGTTTACTCGCATGTATTTGCATCTCAGCTACGGAGAGATGTGCGATATCTGATGTTAATTCCGTTTTCCTCTTCTTCACGACACAGGTAATTATTCGGATGCAATAACAGATCTCACAAGTATCGATTGTTTGTTTGTTTTTTGCTCACTGGTAAGGTGTCATCCTTTTTGCCAGAGCTATCACTGGCATTTCAGTGCAAAAGAACCAATACAACCGTCATAAATCCAATGAAGGGACACACAGTGACAGAAAGTAGAAGCATCAGTCACGAGGGGACAACGGCGACATCTCCGGGTTCCCATAGCCGCTTGTGTTCCCCTGCACTGGGCTCTGGGCCGCGTAGGATCTGTTCATCTTCCCCGAGTGTGAGGGCAATCCGTTCGTGAGAACACTCGGATCCCTCTATTCCTTATTTCTGCCAATGTTGAGCTGTCTGTTAGCCTCGTTACTCTCCGTCAAGCGCCCCTGAGGAAAATAAAGAGGGGGAGGAGGCAGTTGAGGACGACTGTGGGGTGGGGGCTCGTAGGATATCAGCTTGTGAAACACAAGCCGAACGAAACCGTTAGCTCCGATCAGCTGGCAAGCTAAGCTATAATGAGCCACTGATCAATTCAGCGCTCTGGCCAGTTCTTCTTGCAGCACATGACGCACGGCGCACGCACCCCACTTACTAATTTATTCTTCTGACTCCGGTCTGTACCTGAACCGACTGTTGAGTCTCCACCGAATGCGTTCTCAGCCTCAGCTCACCTGCCTTTGCCGCATGAAAATACCGTCGGCTTGTTTTTACGACACTGAGGGGTTGTGCAGTTTTAGAGATAACGGAACGTAACAAGCTGACAGCGCGTTGTCAGGTTATGGACTGTTTGTGCCAGTGGTGGGGATGTGAGCGCTGGGAGACAGCTGCGCATTCAAACGCGCGTCTCTCGGGAACGGCTCCGCTTTGCTAGGGCACGTAGGGCGAGGACCGACAGGCTATTCTTAGACGCAGACATTTCGGAATTAATAGACGGAGATTTCCCATCAGTACAGCTGACAACTCTCCCTCTCCTCCATCCCACCCATTTTTTCAACAATAGTGAAAAAAATGCTTGTTAAATTTACGGTACAGAAAAAATGGCACCTGTGAAATTTAAGCTACCTTACAGAAAAATGCCGTAAAAATACAGTAACGATGTTACAAGCATCAAGCATACGGGGATGGCATTTTGGTGGCTGTATTTTGTTTAGTTGCTGTACTATTTAAAAAACACACACACACACACACACACACACACGCACTGTAAGTCGCTAACAAATTTACAGTGCAGACTTTTACATATAATTAATCGCCAACCATTTAAGATAGGCTATACATTGAGCACGGTCTCATGAAAATGTGTTTAAATAGTATGTGAAATACAAACAGAAAATCGTGCTATTGATACGCAGAAATTGACTTTGGCGTGCATATGATACGCACGTGTTTGACGTGCAAATAATAGCAGTTGTCGCGTGCATATGATAAGCAATTTGTTGGCGTGCGTTTAATACGCAGTTTTCGCGTACGCCTGATCCGCATCTACCCCACAACCCTAATCCTACCCATTACGTATCACATGCATGTCAAAGTCAATTTCTGGATATAAATAGTACGCCAAATTGAAACATTAACTCTTGCTTTTGATACGCACTTTCATTAGATCGGGTTAATACACTAGCCATGTGACCATGTGATGTGTTAGAAAAACGGGTTTGAGAGTGAATTAAGCAAGAGCAATATGCTTTAGGACACGGTTGTTTTGCCGCGAGTGGCAAAAATCAATAGACCCGCGCGACCTTAACAGTGCCCACCTATCCGATATCACAGGAAGTAGTAAGCAGAGGAGGATATACAGTAGGCCTACTGGTCCTCCTAATGCCCCATCCCATCCCAACGTCTAAAACAAGTGGACACAGTCGTGGTACGGCGGACAGTGCCTCTCTCCCATGTGTAGTTTTTATCAGTTATACCCCTGCTTGACCACCTTACTGCTAAAAACTCCCCCTGAAACAAATCAATAAATAGGCTACAGCAATATCACATGGCCTGCTACTGCTGCGAAAAGAATTATGTGAACTTGAGCGGGAAAAAAAATCTCTGCTCATCCCTTGATCTTGTGCAGCAAGCTGTTCACTATCTGAACCAGCACGCGTGTGATCAACCGTACGTGATGCCTTTAGCGTCAGTCCGGAAGAGCCCGGGGTCAAGAGCTCAAACAGGCACCAGCCTCCCTCTAGGCTTCAGTCAACAACAGATCGACAGCGGCTGGGCTGACAGGCGACTTTCTCCTGTAGCCTTTGTCTGAACGAACAGTCAGACTAAGCGACAGTCAGTTGAGTGTAGCGAGCACACTGCATCATACATTATGGCTTTTATCGGTAATATCCGAGTAATTTTAGAGCTGCATCCTGTTTAAGTTTGTGATTATAAATCTATAATAAAGTGATATTGCAGCTATATATTTACCTTTTTAAGCACCGCAGCGTAGTTGCTATGATTACTTCCTAAGACGTACGCGAAATCTGTTCGAAAGCGTTTATTTTGCGCAAGGTAAAAATAAGCGTTCTGAGTGAGCAATTTATAATATAACTTTTGTTGTTATTGAAACACTATTTGAAACACAATTGAAACGTAAATAATAGCCTAAATCTATTACAACTAAATCTGTTTGGCATTTGTGCTATTTAAACCACCCTCAGCCTTTGGTTTGGGCGGTTGCATTAATGAAACCTCAAACCCCCAAAGAAAGTTTGATCTGTAAGCTCAGTTAGGCAAGAGCACCGTTCTAATGACAGCCGCGAAGGCAGCTGTCCATGGTTCTGAAACACTGCACACATAGCCGTGGATCTAAATTAAAAATATAATATACCAAAATTAAATATAAAACAAATAATGATAAACAAAATAATACAAAATATAAACATGTAACAGCTACAATGTAAACATCTTTCAGAACATGCAGAGCATTTGCTTCATGTAAAGGCAGTTTGGTTTCTACATTAACATAAACCTATATTCCAAACAAATACCAATTCCAAACAAAAGTCGTGGTGTATTTGCAACAATTTCTTACCCTAATTTTATTAAGTAATTACCACTAATACCAGCCAAGTATTAGACTACAGTTACTGTTGCAGATCAATGTGTGGACAGATTATATCCTGCTTACATGCAATGTGCTGGTTTTATGATTTGCAGAATTATCTTTCAATTATTCCAAGTGACCAAACTTGAGAACTGGTGAGTCAGAGCTCTAAACTGTGGCCTAAATTCATTAATCAAACTACGAACAGAGGGAGAAAAAAACAAAACATTCAAATTAAATGCTATATAAAGAATACATCTCCACAGTAAAGTAATCGAACACCCACAAAAACACAAAACAAACCAAGACTCATTATCTTTGGAAATCAAAACTGCCAATTTAGTGACTGTCCTACACAGTCTAGCAGCTATACCCCATAAAACCCTGATCAAGACAAATCCTGCTCATCATCCTGACAGCTGCCTCTGTACAAGAATTTTGCACAGCTGTGATATTACATTGCTAAAAGACATTTAAAACATCCACACATTTTAGACAACACAAATGAAGGGCTTTGCTTGGCGCTATTGGGACCAGCGAACATTTTTTGGCCATTTAGAAGATAATGAATGTATAAAGAGTGTATATGTTCATCTAATTAAGTTATTCTTGTGTTACCACTAATCTTCTTAATGAAGAGTTTCTGTATATTGTGCATGTTTACGTATTGATTATGAATGCAGTCTCAGTGGTGGGGCTGTATGCTGTGATGTGTGCTGTAGTCCTGTTGTGTCAGCCTTGTCACACAGTTGGGGTTCACAAGGCGATTGCTTTTGAATGTCAGAGCCTCTCTCCTGCTGCCAAGCAGAAACACCCCTCCCTTAGTGCATTATTAAAGCATGCCACACTAATCTAACACAGCAGCACACAGAAACCACACAGCCAGCCAAAGAAAGAGAGAAGTCAATAAGATGTCTCACTACACTGCTCTACAAAGGCAAAACGAGCTGCACATTTTGCCAAAATTGAATTATGAGTAAATTCCGGTCTCTTAGACTGTGATTTGTCCTGTGACAGACGAGTTTGGCTCAGCTATGCTCAGATTCAGAGAAAACGTGGTGTGAGAATTGTCATCAAATCAATCAAAATTCAATCAAGTGCTCAGTGTGCCCATAAAAGTGTCACATGTAAATCTCGCAAAACAAAGGCAAAAGCATAATGCATCAGTTTGCATGTGTGCATTCAGTGACTGCATATAATTGTGATAAAGAGATGGTAAAAATGTGAACATACGCACACAGGGCCGATCAAGAATTCTGAAGTAATGCTGCTGTGTATTTGCAGCAGAAGCTAAACTCAGTGACTCATAAAATTGAATAATTCATAAACAGCATGTATACCAGGTTCTCTGCTCCTTATTTAACCTTATCTTCCAGATATAAATCCTACTGGTCAGTGGAAAGGGCCGCATCGCAATATATAACCTCGGTATGTTAGTGTGTCAGATGCAATAAACACGCACTAGAGAAAAAAAGAGAGTTGAACACACGATTGCTTTGTGTGTTTATGGGCTTCTTCAGAGGCTCATTTATGCTAAATATTTTATACAATTAAAATGAAAACACAAATAATATACACTTTTTGGCACAGATAAGAGACA